AAAGCATTTGGATTGTATTACGGAGTATTTTCTAACATTTGATGTTTTGATACAGTTCAAAAAAAATAAAGACTAAAACTCGTCTAGTTTCCCGATCAATGACTTCAATAGTTTTTCCCAAAATATTATTGAAATTCATAATATTTAATAAATTAATTAATAAATAGATAAATCAATAATTTTCATGGACTAATATACCCTTGGATTGATATTATAAAACCCTAACTCCCTACTCATTTTCTAAAAAAATATACTCATTAGCCTATCACTGCGGCATCAGTCGCTCCTGTCACCGTTGCATCTGCCGCCCCACATCGCCGCGGCATCCTGTGCCCCCGTTGCCGCGGCATGCACCCTTCTTCCCCGATGTCCCCATTGTTAGCTTTTCTAGCTTAAACACTCTTATGTTGATGAATATACGTACTCAAAAGAGGGCAGACAAACTCATACTTTTATTGGAATAACAAAGGGCTTTATATAGCCATTTTACATTGAATATGTAACACCCCGGCCCCACCGGACCCGAGGTAGTTACTCCGGACCAATAGTACTGTCCCCACAAACCACCACGAGCCTTTACCGCGCACTTTGTTCTCATTCGTGCGCGCCCTGAGACTACTCCCATCCCAAGACTACTCCCGTGCGAGCACGCTTAACTTTGGAGTTCTTGGGTGATGAGCTCCCTTAAAAGGAGATGCACCTCTGTTGGTATGAATAGTACTATTAATCCGTTTATATTAAATCTCAAGTGTTACAGAATAATAGCCACATAAACAAAGCAACTAACTCCTAGAAAATAGCCATGATCAAACGTGCACTTACACAACTAAAGATGCTCCTAAATAGTAGCTAACAACTTAAGACTCTTTCAACTAGATAATACTCAAACATAATAATAATAATAATAATAATAATAATAATAATAATAATAATAATAATAATAATAATAATAATAATAATAATAATAATAATAATAATAATAATAATAATAATAATAATAATAATAATAATAATAATAATAATAATAATTAAGTAACAAATAACTTATTAAGCCAAATCCTACGTGTGCATGTCTCGAAATAGCCCTCATGCAGCTTCATGCAACCTTCTTGTTTCAAGCTTGATCATTCTCAACACCACCCCTTGATCCAAGCTTGTATAGCCCAATTCTTCTCATGAAGTGGTTATGTTTAGTGTGGTTTAGAGCCTTCGTAAAGAGATCTGCATTCTGCCAATCTGTTCCACAGAATTGAAGAGAAATTCTTCCTTGAGACACCAGCTGTCTTACGAAGTGATATTGGCCTGGACATCTATATGCTTTGTTCTTGAGTGATAAGCTGGATTCTTTGTCATAGCAATTGCTGATTTGTTGTCACACCAAAGATCAATTTCTCAGGTTGATTGCACCCCAAGTCTTTCAGTATCTTGCTATTCCACAATGCTTGTTTGGCTGCAGCTCCTGCAGCCACATATTCTGCTTTAGAGGATGATAATGCAACTGTATCCTGCTTCTTTGCACTCCAAGTTATTGCTCCAGAACCCAGATCAAACACTGAACCAGACATGCTTTTCCTATCATCAATACACCCAGCCCAATCACTATCAGTGTATCCCCTCAGTTTGAAATCCTTCACACTTGTATACCACATTCCATAGTCCAATGTTCCAGCCACATATTTGAGGATTCTTCTTGTTGCACCAAGATGTTGCTTTGTTGGACTTTGCATATAACTTGATTCAATGCTTACACAGTAAGCTAAGTCAAGCCTCGAGTGAGTTAGATAGTTTAACCCACCTACCATACTTCTATAGAGTTTTGCATCAATTTCCTCTGTACCATCAAACTTTTGCAGCTTCTCATTGGTATTCATAGGAGTTTGTGCAGTGTCACAAGTCTTCATATGAAACCTTTTAAGTAGGTTTAGAGCATACCTTTTTTGACTCAGAGAGATGCCTTCCACACTTTGCTTAACTTCCAATCCCAAAAAATACTGAAGCTTCCCTAAGTAAGTCATCTCAAAGTGGTGTGTCATGGAGGATTTAAACCACTGCAGCAGGCTTTGTGAAGAACTGAGATAGATTATATCATCTACATAAAGGCATACAATGATAAAGTCCATACCTTTCTTCTTAACATACAAGGTGGGCTCATTGTCACTTCTCTGGAAGCCAGTTGAACAAAAGAAGGAATCAATTTTACTGTACCAGGCCCTGGGAGCCTGTTTGAGCCCGTACAATGCCTTTTTCAGTTTGTATACTTTTGCTTCTTCCCCCTTCTTCTCAAATCCTGGAGGTTGATAGACAAACACCTCTTCACTCAGATCTCCATTAAGGAATGATGACTTTACATCTAACTGATATATAGTCAGTTTCCATTGAGCTGCCAAGGCAAGGATAATCCTTATAGTTTCAAATCTGGCTATAGGGGAGAAGGTCTCCTCATAGTCTACTCCTTGTTGTGCATAGCCCTTTGCTACTAAACGAGCTTTATGCTTAGCTATGCTGCCATCTGAGTTATACTTTGTCCTGTATACCCATTTCAGCCCTATAACATTCTTGTCTTGAGGCAAATCCACTAATTCCCAAGTTCTATTCTTCTCAATAGAATTGAGCTCTTCCTCCATTGCTTGTGTCCATTCAGTGCAGGCTGAGGCTTCATCATAGTCTGCAGGCTCTGTAACAACTAAAGCAAGACTGCAGGACTCATAAATATCAACAAGAGATCTTACCCTTCTAGGTCTCTCATTGGATGAACTATCTGAATCTTCATTGTTATCTTCATTGTGAGACTGAGTGCTAGGACTTGCTGAAGAGGTCTGAGGCTGATCAGGATCAGTGGAGTCTTCCAAACCAACAAGCTTTTGCATTTCTTTCTCTTTGTAAGTAGTAGCCTGCCAATCCCATGTTGCATCTTCATCAAAAATAACATTCCTACTGACAATGATTTTGTCAGTAAGAGGATTATACAACCTATAGGACTTAGACTGAGTAGAATAGCCTATAAAGATGCATTTTTCTGCTTTATCATCTAGCTTGCCTCTCAGATTCACAAGTGTATATGCAATACACCCAAAGATTTTCATATGACCTACTGAAGGTCTCTTCATTCTCCATACTTCAAATGAAGTGGAATTTGGTACAGCTCTGGTTGGTGAAATGTTAATAATGTACACTGCAGTGGACACAGCTTCTCCCCAAAATTTGTTCGGTAGACCCTTGGCTTTTAGCATGCTTCTAGCCATTTCAACTACTGTCATATTCTTCCTCTCAGCCACTCCATTTTGCTCTGGAGGAGTGTAGGGTGCTGTGAACTCTCTTCTTATTCCTTGTTCATCACAGAATTGTACAAAGGCATTAGAACTGAACTCTCCTCCTCTATCAGTTCTTAGTGCCTTGACAAACTTACCACTTTGCTTCTCAACTAAAGCTTTAAATCTTTTGAAATTTTCAAGAGCTTCATAGGAGTTTTGATAATGACTTTCCTAATCTTTTTATAAACAATGCACAAAACATTAGAGGACAGCATGTTGCATTTCTAGCGTCTTTCAGCTCACCGGCAGTGATCTTTGAGCAGCTCTCTATCATATTTGCACTCCCAAGGCTTTTTGTTGCTTCTTTCACGTTGGTGTTGCCTTTCTTCCCAACGGGTTCCTTTGAGAGGATGGAAGAGGAGGGGATGTAGCCATTGCATTTACTATGGGCAGAATATTGTCCAATATTCCCATTTCAAGAGGTGGTCCCACCAGCTTAGTCATCTATGAGACTATGACATCCATGCCTTGCAGGTTCCTTTAACTAATTAAGCTGCATTTTCAATATCGGCTATCTACTTTGAAGGCATTTCTTGATTCTACAAAAATTAGAATAATTACTTATTCTTGCTTAGAATATCGATTTCCATAAAATAAGACTTTTATGAGCTTTTTGAATAATACTTTAAATCATAAACTAAAGTTCTTGTTCTACTTCAGAAAGTAGCGAAGTGCACTACACAGTAATAACTACTCTGTAATAATAAAGAATGAGTGATAAAGAATGTGATAAATTTAGGAAAATATAAGTGCAATTTAAAATACCAATACAGTGATTGCCAAAATATAAACATTGTATCTATCAAATTATAAGAATTAATTTAAGAATCTTTGAGCATGAAATATATACTCATAGTTTTCTTTTCTTAATGTGCCCATGATCACACTATAGGAAAACTCATGTATACCAGTAACTTGACCTTTGGACTAATTAGGAAAGGCTGCTTCTTTCAATTGTATAAGTGGGTGAATCTGTGTTTGACAATGCTAACTAAGGAACTTTTTTAGTGGTTGTTGCTGGGTTTTTGTGCTTTCTTTGCATTGATAAATACTAATTTAACTTTTTTGTGTAATCAGTGGAGCTTTGCAGTCTACATTGTCATGTACAGTGTACACTACCTGGAAATTGTAAGAAGAATATGTAACTTTTGAGGATGTTTGTTGTTCATAGTGGTTTGCTTTGTTGATTTATCAGTTTTTTCTATAGCTTATTTTTATGCAGATTGTATATCTCAAGTCTTTTTGTTTGTGGCTGTAATTTTTGGATCATAATCCGTACTAAATAAAATAGCCTAGGTTTAATTCTAGTTAATAGTTCATTCTTGCTAGTTTCAATATAACTTACTTAGATATTGCATTGAGTAACTTGACTTTAAACTTTGCTCTTTGGTTCAGGTATTGCTTTCAGTGGGGGAAGCTGGATAGCACCATGTTGACTAACTTCATCATCATAGATTCATAGATGTAGAAAATTATATCTTAGAGTCCACATGTATATTTATTGGTATTAAAGTGCTTGAATACTTGTGTACGAAACAATTTGGATTATATATTAAATGAAAAAAGTTGATTTTAATTGTTATTTGTCATTTTCAATCATATGCAGTATATGCTTAACTATACCAGTGATTAATTATCATTAATGGAAAATTATGTGTATATATATATATATATATGAATAAATATATCTATTAATTAAACATATAATGATACCAATGTGTCATATTTTTGTATGATACTAAAGTGTCATAAAGTGTTACAATGTTATCATGTCATAGTATATTGTGATACCTTGGTGTCGTGGTTTACTGACAGTTTTTCAGTGACACTAAATTTAGTGTCACCATTCCCTACCTTCTGCGACATTTGTCTTGTGTCACAAAAACATTCTGTGACACTAAATTGACATCCCAAAAGAGTAAAACTATATTTCAAAACTAGTCATATAAAACACTAATAAATAGAAACCAGCCATCCAGCCGAATCCTTTCAGGCTTCAGTATAAACTTCACCAGCAAATTTAAGCACCTGTTGATGGATAGAGAGGGCCATTAAAAAGAGGGCAGAACATGTCCTTCCGGCCAGCAAATTAGACACACATGTTCTTCTAGTATATATCTAGAATTAGAAGGCTTTCAGACAACATCATACCTTCTGATTTTTCACTGCTTCACCTTTTAAAATATTCTAAATAGATCTCTGAAAATAAATGACAGAATCGAGTTATATATCACAAAATCATTTGCAATGCAGTATCATTTGAAAAATAGAACTTAAAAGATATTCTTTGAGTAAGCCTTCCAAATGCATGGAGTTTTTTTAATGACCACGGGAGTATGGGACTGGCACTCCTGCAGTATGCCCTATTACAAATAAGTAAATTACAGTTATGGCACATAGCTCATCTATTACATTTTCTTAAACTTCATATGTTGAATAATCATAACAAAAGAAAATCCAGCTTAATAATTAAAAGAGGTACAATTAAAGAAAATTTATCTTACTCCCCAGTTTGCTATAGTTTCCTATATTCACTCTCAAGCTCCTCCATTTCAACATTCTTTTCCCTACAAGAAAAAACGTTTTTGTGTCGACAAAAAGTCGACACAAAAAGTGGAACAAGACATCAACTCAATTGAAGCGAACGCTGGCATCGCCCCAATCGAATGTCGAACTCTGGAAATGCCACATTCATGCTTGACTTTTAACTGCAAAAAAATGCATGCCCATTTGGTAACTTTATTTTCTGCCCATTAGCCTTATAGCCCATATTTTTCATCAAGCACTAAGTTACTAAACTGCACTTGCTGAATCTGCAACTGATACAAATAAAGTTATTGAAAACTTACATGGGGGTGAGGGGGGTCTGTCTACCTGGTCATTGAAAAGCCTTCTGAAGTGTGGCAAATTGGCCATCGTCGATTCTGTTGACTTCCAACTAGGTCGTTTAGAACGTGAAAACAACAAATGTTTGCCACTCTACATAATAAAGTGGGTAAAGTTCCACCTTTTTGCCTTCTTTAGCCATAAAAAAAGAAATACAAATAAAGTGAAGGGGTACTCGGCAAAGTGGTTAGAGTAGAAAATGCAGCTTCCATCTACTGCAAAACTCATCAGTTTTGTAATCATCAAACTCTTGGCCAATAAATCTGACTTCATTGGATTGTCAAACAAATAAAAGGAAATGATGTCAAGTTTCTACAAGTACTGAAATGACAACAAACGGTGTATAGCTAAGAATTATCTGAACACAAAATATGCCACCAAAGTTATTGATATAATTTTATTAATAAAGCAACTTACTAGCTAGAAATTAAAAAGAAAGTCCCAACTGCTTCAAATTATTACCAATTTCTCCCTGTATAACATGAATTTAAATCATTGCTAATTGCAGGAATTGCAGGAATCACCTACACATAGTTGGCAATTACCAGCATTGAACAGGTGGCCTCTAAGTTTTTGTTTTAACTGATTTTAGCATCACATGTTCCTGAAATGTGATTAACGCAATAAGTGAGTTATTAGATCAATACATAATGCCACTAAAGTGCATTTTTCATTAATCAAATATTCTTACACATGCCAAGTACCATATGCTTTTCAAAAAAAAAACATTTGAATCAAATAGCCTATGAAGGCCTCACATATAGTTTCTGAAAATGGTCACTCTTAACATCATTTATTCTGAAACTAGCTTGAACCCTTTTCCTTAATCTCAATTCTCAAATCAAATATAGAAAAAAAACAAACAATTTGTTTCTGGTTGAATACTTCAGTTTGTGTCTGAAATTGAAGCATACCGACCTGTTTTCTTTTTGTAGAGTCACATCTTCTTTCATAGCCTGTTACAGAAAAGAGTCATTTAGTTCATGGTATTATGAAAGAATTGCAGTATAAAAATCACTTGTCATTGCTTCGGAAAAGTTACGTTTTTTGTTGAGTATTTTTATTCTAATCATTCTTTATTCAGTCTCTAGAAATAAATGCATTTATCAGGATGTAAACTGAGCCTCATTAAAACATTCATCTCCAAAACCTTCCATCCAAACCAACCCTTCATGTGTTTTCTAGCATTTGGATCTTCTATTGAGGGGTGGGAGCTAGGGGAGACGAAAATGATATTGATGAAGTTGAAGCCTCTTGAGCATTCAAATATGTTGTGGACTTAGCCAGACAGTCCTAGCCAAGTTTCACTCCATTAAGAAACTACCTTCATAGAAAAAGTAATGAATTTCTATTTGGTAAATAGCTCTTTTGGAGAGGTAGTACCTGTCATGGTATAATTCAAATTTGCATAGTCCGAGCTCATTCTCATATTGGAGTATGAAAAACCAGGTCCAAAGGGATAATCCATATATATCATGTTTGAACCTGCTTGTTTCCAAATTATGTTATTCAGTACATCTAAACTCCGATATGAACAAAAGCCTTCACACACATATGAATACATGCATAACACATAGATAACCGATAAAATTGTCTAGAATTAAAATCTTACTGATGTTCCAAGAAAATGAGTTCTTCATCAGCTTTCCATCTTTTCCTGGCCTAAATGGACCATTACTTGTAAACATAGTATTACCGGCTGTAGATAAATAGTTTTGTAACATTAACAGATTGCACTCCTATGTACTCAACCACATACCAATAGGTGCAGTCAAATACATCAAGGAAGCTAGATTAGCATTGCAAACAGAGCAATTGACAGCAACATTCCAACTGAGGGGGGCTTTACCTGGACTTCTTCTCCGGGATAGCAGCCAGTCCCAGCGGGTCACCAGATTCTTCCTTTTTGTAAAGTCATCAGTGATCATGAGAAAATACCTGCTACCACCCAATGATTCCGTGTCCATTGGGCCACACAAATCAGCATGAAGAAGTTCCAGACAGTCATTTGCCCTCCATGAGCCTCCAATGGGAAATAATCTTCTGGTTTGCTTGCCATAGATATAGATGCATCCTTCACACAAATCTAGTTCTCCAATTTTGGGTAGGCCATTTACAAAACCCCTGCAACTGAGCAGTCTCAGACTATTGATGTTGAGATGTCCATATCCTAAATGCCACAATTTGGCATTGTCTTCACCCTTCACCACAAGTGATCTGCCACAGTGATTAGATAGGTCCAAAGGAAAGAGCTTATTCCTCCCCATCCTAGCTTTCAGTAGAAGATCACTGGTATGTACATCCTTAATTGTACATAGTCTCTCCGATCCTCAAAGATCACTGAGTATCCTCCAGTCACTAATTGGCCTACTCTTAACAAATTATGAGCCAATTGAGGTACATACTGCACATTTGAGACGGACTTCATCTTGCCTTGATCAGTGTGTACTGAAATAGTTCTTAGCCCTTCTACTGCTAGTTGTTTTCCATCACCAAGGCTAACAACTCCTTTTTTAGTGTCAACAATGTCTTGAAACATGCCTTTTGTTCCAGTCATATGGTTTGAGCAACCACTATCAACATACCATACCATAGCTCCAGTTTGATCATAATTGTGTTGAGCAAGGAATAATTGCTCTTGTTCAACATAATTAGACCTTTGCTCAGTCTCACTGGAAGCTGGTTTTCCATGCTTCTTCCAGCATTCAGCCTCTTTATGACCAGATTTATTACAATAGTAACACTTAATAGATGGTTTGTAAGTGTTCTTTGTATAGTCAAACCTGTCATGATTTGATTGATGTCTTCCTCTACCTCTGCCTCTGTAACCACCTCTAAAGCCTCCTCTTCCTCTTCCTTGTCCACCAAATGGATTATCTCGTGGGGCTTCTCCTTTGGCTTGGAATGCTTTTTCTTCATTGGACTCTTCCATGCTAGTCTGCCTTTCATCAAAGGCTTGAAGAGAGCCTTTCAGTTCTTCAAAGGTATAGGTCTCCATATCCTTAGCTTCTTCAATAGCTGTTACTAATTGGCTATATTTTGAGGTGAGACTTCTCATAACTTTACTCACAGTCTGTTTAGAGGTTACCTCTTCACCATAGGTTTTCATCTGCTGAACAATTGATGTAAGTCTGGAAATGTAGTCTTGAATTGACTCCTTGTCCTTCATCTAGATTGCTTCAAACTCCCTCCTAAGAGATTGTAATCTGACCATGATTACTCTTTTATCTCCAAGGTATTCTTGTTTTAGAATGTCCCACGCTTGTTTAGAAGTTGAAGCTGCTGCAATTCTGGGAAAGATTTCATCATCCAAAGCTTGTTGAATGAGATAAATGGCCTTTGCATCCTTTTTCCTTTTTTCTCTGAGTGCTGGATCTGCTTCTTCTTGTGTATTGTCAACAAAACCTTCTTCAACAAGCGTCCACAGCTCGTGAGATTTGAAGAGTGTTTTCATCTTCAAACTCCAAAAGTGATAGTTAACACCCTTGAACACGGGAAGCTGATTCAAGGAGTTGCCATTGCCATTGCTTTGCATTGTGTTGTGTTTTACTAACCCTCTTTATCTTGTTTGCTTTGTGATAATCACTCACTGACTACTCACACGAAACACACTCTCACCAGGCCAAGAATCGCCTAAAAGCTCTGATACCAGAATGTTAGCTTTTCCTAGCTTAAACACTCTTATGTTGATGAATATACGTACTCAAAAGAGGGCAAACAAACTCATACTTTTATTGGAATAACAAAGGGCTTTATATAGCCATTTTACATTGAATAATAAAACCTAGGCGTCTAATACCATATACGAAATAATAATTTGGGAATAATGGCTTACCCTATTGGGTGTCTTAGCCTTATATTTATAATAAAACAGAGTTATGAAGAATTACAAAGTAATCCCTAAATATTACATTATTAGTATATGGATCCAAGTGACGTGTTTGAAATTGTAGGACCTGTTGAGCATTTCCCATAAATTTATTTATATTCAAGTACGGGAGTATAATTTAAGTATGACATATAACACACTTTCACATTTTTGTACACCCCCTATTTTGTCCGTTTACACGTGCAATTCGTATAAAAAACGCAATTCGTATAAATATATAGCCACCCTATTTTTTAAGAAGAAAATCGCCTATATTAGTATTCAAAAAATCATAAACTTTTCACTAGACCACTTCATCTCCCATGACTATAAATAAAAGTCAAAGACTGTCGTTGTCGCGAGTTGGTCAACTTTACGTGATTATGCCAAGGGTACTCAATTGCCAAGCAGTAAAAAATCACATTTTAAACGATGACACGGGAGCAACATTGAAACCGAGAATGTTGTGTATAGAGAAGTGTTTCACAACATTTAACATGAAATGTAAGGTGTTTTCAAATTATAATGCACGTTACTTGCTATTTTGTTAGGCTATATAAAAATTGGGTACTAGTAGGTAATTATTGGTAAATCATATTAAATATATTTCATTTTACGTTACTTTTTATTATTGTACATAGTATAGTTCTAAACAATTCAATTAAAATTAAAAGTTTGTTTTTTATTTCGAATTTATCTAACTTAATTATAGAAATTTCACCAATCGTGCATCGCACGGGTGTTATAAAGGAAATGTAAATAAATTATCACTTGACCAAACCTTGGTTCTCCAATTACTATTTATAAAGAAATACTTTAGATTATTTTATTAATAGTACATAGATATATAGTCCTACATTATTGTAATGAAAAGATAAAGGGCCTATATAGGAAAGAACATTAAATAGTGATGGTCCCTCTTTTTTTTAACCTAACAACTGTATAATTATTGCACGAAAAACTAACAACAAATTGACTTCCCCTTTCACCCCAGAAAAGATAAAAAAAAAATACACAGAACTAAAATTATTAAAACAAACACACGGAATTGGGATAAAGGCCTTAAAGTGTGTGTGAACTCCACATCATTCCTACCAAAATGACTAGATGCAGCCTTAGCTTCTTCAAGAACTAGTTGTTATCACTCCTCTTGAGGTCGAAGTTGATGGCAATCATCCCCGGCCTGAAATCAAAGCTCTCCTTCACAATCTTCAATATCTCCTTGACCAGAATACTTCCAGTCCCATAGGAATCCACAAACACCAATAGCCCATGGTATAGTCCCACTCTCTTTTTGAATTTTCATCTTTATCAATAAAATTTGATAAATTATTCCCGGCATTTGCCCCACCGATTGGTGGTTTGCCTACTGTGTTAAAAAAAAAAGGAGTATTAAATACCGATTCAATTCCCAACCAGAATCTGTCTTGAAATGCAAACAGAAACTCTGGCTAACAACTGAATTTGACATGGATGTTATCCTTAGACAACTTCATTGAGGACCTCAGCTCGTGTAGAACCGTGACCAATATGTCGAGCTTGAATCTGGCTCAGATGTTGGCTCAGATGCGCAATTCCAAGCCATAGAGTTTGGAAGGCCGGCAATGTCTCGAATTCGAAATCTGAGTCAATATGATTATATACTCGGATAAATGGGAATCATTTGGAGCCGAAATCCATCAAATTGTAAAATTGTAAGGAACATAGAAAAACAAATAATTACAATCACGTTTTGACCCTTCGGATTTTGCTTGTCCCGAATTTTAAAGTAGCGTTTAATGGTGTGTATAATCATTTTGTATTCATATATATATTGATATATTTAATTTTTCTAAAATAAATAGATATGAGGTATTAAAGATTTGGGCTAAAAGGAGACATAGAGAGTCATAGAGACAACATATACCACATATAAACAAATCATGACGTGCATAAAAAAATTCATGAAAAAGATGGAGAAGTTAGTTGCGGTGTTAAATTCGATTTCATGAAATCTTACATGTTAAAAAATTCTTTACTTTTAGTTTTCTTAATCCCCTAAGTGCATCATAGACGAGAAGTTTCTCACGAAAATATCACTTACTCTGCATACTAGGATGAGTCAGTGAAGTGTACGGTGCAAAAAGCTCAACAAAGCAATTTCGATTGGAATCGTATTCTATTAAAGCCGGTATCGTGGACGAGTTTTACAAAGATCATACGACAATAGTTGTGGACACACACGAAACTAACATGTATGTATAATTATTACTACAGATGTACAATTTATTAGGGATAAGAAGTGTTACCGTCGCCAATAGCTATAAATTTATGGAGGTGAACGAAGTATTCATTACAAAAAAACACATCTAGCTATTCTATTGATCGACAACCATGTCTCTAGCTGCTCTTTTTTGCGACTCGAGTACTTTTTGTTTTTGTCAAGTTCTTAACATCTTTCCCTCTTACCTACTTCTTTAATATCAAAAAAACGGGATGCACCAATGAACCGTTGAGCCTGACTTTGATATAACAAAACTATCAGCACTATCTCCCTACCAATGATGAATATACACAACCTTTTAACTTCAGAAAAGTGGACTTGTAGAAGGGAAGACCCTTTCGAGAAAGGAGTCTCTTCTCCAATTTCTTGAACCTCAACTAGAGCCGACATTTGATAACAAAAGAACGTATGAGAAAATAGTACACACCTCCATTCTATTGTGCATTCTATGAACGATGTCATGTAGGTTGTCATGTTCACATTGAAAGCTACACAACTTCGCATCCTCACCACTTCGAGTGTAAAGTTGGCACAAACCTCACATCTCACAGTCGGCAAAATAACAAAGCTCAAGCAGACCTCAATGATGGTCTGTCATGGGCACTAACAGGCAACTATCCTATGGTTAAAAGGATAATGCTAACAGGCAACTAACATGCAGGATAATGCTAACCTTAGGATAGTTGCCTGTTAGTGCCCATGACAGACCATCATTGAGGTCTGCTTGAGCTTTGTTATTTTGCCGACTGTGAGATGTGAGGTTTGTGCCAACTTTACACTCGAAGTGGTGAGGATGCAAAGGTGTGTAGCTTTCAATGTAAACATGGCAACCTACATGACATCGTTCATAGAATGCGCAGTAGAATGGAGGTGTGTACTATTTTCTCATACGTTCTTTTGTTATCAAATGTCGGCTCTAGTTGAGGTTCAAGAAATTGGAGAAGAGACTCCTTTCTCGAATGGGTCTTCCCTTCTTCAAGTCCACTTTTCTGAAGTTAAAAGGTTGTGTATTTTCATCATTGGTAGGGAGATAGTGCTGATAGTTTTGTAATATAAAGGTCAGGCTCAACGGTTCATTGGTGCATCCCGTTTTTTCGAAATTAAAGAAGTAGGTAAGAGGGAAAGATGTTAAGAACTTGACGAAAACAAAAAGTACCATAGTCGCAAAAAAAAGAGTAGCTAGAGGCATGGTTGTCGATCAACAGAGTAGCTAGATGTGTTTTTTTGTAATGAATACTTCGATCACCTCCATCAATTTATATAGCTAGTGGCAACGATAACACTTCTTAATTGGTTGAATCCCTAATAAATTGTACCTCTCTAATTATAATTATACATGCATGTAAGTTTTATGTGAGTCCACAACTATTGTTATATGATCTTTGTTGAACTCACGTACGATGCCGACTTAAAAGAATGTGATTCCAATCAATACATTTTTGTTGAACATTTTGCACTGTATACTCTATTGATTCACTGTACTATGTGGAATAACTTATTTCCCCGTGAGAAACTTTTTTTCTACGATGCGTCGATGCCCTTAAGTAATTCAAAAAAAAAATTAAAAATAAAGAATTGATCTTGTAAGATTTCATGAAATCAACTTTAGCACCCCTGCTAACTTTCTTAATTCATGAACTTTTTAATACACCTCATGATTTTCTTTATACGTGATATATGTTGTGAGTACGACTCTATGGAGGCGTTCACTTCGCTGCTAAAGTCACGGTTAGGTTAGTAAGACAGGTGAAGTAAACGGGCACGCTGCTTAAAAAGCCGCTTACTAACCGAAATAGGTGCTTAAAGTGCTGCTTACTAAGCATACCACCCCCCATTGTATTAATTAAGCAGCACTTTAAGCTTTTTCAGTTTCCGAATTTACCCCTTGCCCTTACCCTTATTGTTAACCCCTACCCGCCTACCCTACTACCCCGACCCCGACCCCACCCTACCCACTACCTCCATCCATCCTCGTACCTTACCCCTACTCGACCATTACCCCACCCCCACCCTGTGTACCCCTTTTCCCTACAATGACCCTACCCCACCCCCCACCCCAACCTCGGCCCCACCTCGATCCATACTCTACCCCTACCTCGGCTCCACCTGATCCCGACCCCAACCCCACCCACCCCACTCCAACCTAGGCCCTTACCACCTTACCCCAACCCCCTACCCCCACCACATCGGCCCCACAAGACCCCACCATATCCTATCCTACCCTACTCCTACAATACCCTACCCTACCTTACCCTGAACCCTAACCCTTACCTTACCTATCAGACCCCACCCGACCCACTTATCCACCCTCTACCTACCCTACCCACCCACAAACCCTAGGCCCTTACCACCTACACAAACCCTACCACATCGGCCCCACCCTACCCCCTAGGGCCCCCATCCTACCCCAACCCCTTACCACATCGGCCCACCCCACCCTACCCTACTCCCTAACCCCTACACCACCCACCCTCTACCCTACCTACCCGACCCCCACCCCCACCATTAGGCCCCTTACCACCCTACCAC